AGTACTGTACATTTATACCAACATAAAGCAAGATTTGAATACGAAGGTTCTTTTTACTTTGAGGTAATGCTGAACTGTAAAAGGTTCTGCAGGGAAGGCTTTGGGAAAGAAAAGTTGTTTTTTCTCCCTTCCCTCAGTGTATCTCTSCTTGATTAGATTTGTTTGTCAAACTTAAGAGTGCATGTGAAGTGCTTGAGCCTTGATGATCTCTCTTCAATAATGCTATTAACAAAGCACTGCTTAAGCTGTAGTAAAACAAAATGGAACACAGATGCAGGATCCTCTTTTTGAAAACGCGCATCTGTCATCTCTTTGGTTGAGAAGGTTTATGTAAGCTGTGCTCGTCGGGGAGGAGTTCAGACAGACTCCAAATAATGTAAATAAAAGCATCAAGCGGGTGCCAATACAAACTAAACAATGTTGGAAATACTTGCAGGTATGGGCTACACAGTGTATGCAAAGTCAGGCATAAGCCACCTCTGGTTGAAATGGCAGGGCAGGTCAGCAAAGCGGCTGTTCATATGGGAATTTAAGTCTCAGTAATGCAGTGTCAGAGACTTTTGACACTTCAGAAACAAAAATATAGATTTTTATGTTCATGGTGTTTTCAGATCTCTCATCCAGGCCTCCAGCAGAAAAACAGGTCTCAAAAACGGTGTTAATGGGGAGGGTTCAAGTTTCTCTTGGAGAGAGTGTGCCTGCTGATGAATCTGTTACGCTGACTTGCAGTAGTCTGAGGTTTCTTTGGAGGGTTTCCATTCCTGTTTGGGTTGGCCAGGTTTCACATTACATAGAAAGGGGAAGTTTCAGAAGATCAGAGTTCACAGCAGTATTTTGTAATGTCTTAGGGCAGCATTTTTCAGCCTCTGGCTTGTGCATCCCCTAAAGTCCATAGTCTGCATCTGAGCCGTAAAAGGTGTTTAAGAAACCAAGGCTGTTGTCTTTGGGCTTACGCTTTCCATACAGGGGCCTGCAACTCCACATAAAAGTCCATGTCTGTGAACTGGAAAAGATTGGAAACCGCTGGGTTACAGGGATAGCCATAAAAGAAATCAAGTCTCATAAAAACCTTTTTTTCCCCCTTTTTAAAAATCTTATCTCTGTTAGGTATTTTACTAAAGTTTAATTATGTCTGTCATGATTTATGCTGACTTCTTATTCCAAGAAATAGACAATATTTGAATCAGTTCTGTGGCTGGACTTTTCATGTCCCTGGACAGTGTTGCTGTTGGGTAGATTGGAGAGACACCCTGGCAGTGAGAGCTTAAGCACCTAGCTGTGGAGCCGGATGACTGCTGCGAATCCCGACTTGAACAAGGTTTGAGGAACCGGCCCCTTGTATCAGCTTTTCCTCCTTGAATATCTTCCTGGTAGGTTCCCAATTCAATGTGCTTGAGGCTTGGATCCCAGTTCTCAGGTGAAAAACTTCCCGCACCCCAAACTGGGATGCTGTGGTATTAACTTAGCTGTGGAACAAGCCGTATGGAGCTTGTCTTAACTTTAGTGTGGAGTGGCACTGCTTTTCTGGCATCCTTGCCTGGTTGCACTTGGTGCTGCAGATGGGCTGTTGACTCTAATGAGTGCTGTTGGAGTTAAGGTGTTTTCAGGTCGACTCTGACAGGTCCTAAGTGCACATTTAGGCAGATTTCCAGATTTGAGATACTGGGGTAGCATCGCTATTGAGTGTAGAGCACTTCCCAGCTGCCCTTGAGCAAAGTAGGCTCTGCTGGGCACGTGTGCCAGGCTTCTTCACCAAAGCAGGGCAGTTTCACATCTTCTCCGAATACCTGCTTGGGCTGTATCTGCTCTCTGAGCTCTTCCAGACAATTCTGATACGTGCAGTCCTTGAAGCAGCCTTACAAAACCTGGTTTGATTTGCTTGTTATAATCAGAGGGGGTTTATTTCCTGGCTTTCTTATTTCCTAGTTTGGCAATAAGATATCCATGTCTGCAAGTCCAAGAACCCCTTCCGAGGGAGACACGGAGCTGTGTCCGTTCTCCCTGCCCTCCGGACTGGCCCAGCTATTGGTGATCGTCGCACTGAACATGCTGCTCTACAGATGCTCATTGCAGCTTAACATTTTTCTCTATTTAATTTCCTCCTTTTATTTTCTTGGGAAAATACCTTCCATTCCTGCCTCAGCCTGAGCGTGTCTCTCCGGCCCTCAAGGATGAAGCTAAACTGGTGTGCAGGGAACAGGGAAAGTTCAGTGTGTTCCCTTTGCACAAAAGCTGGGATTAAATAGTGCTGGTAAGTCCCATCTTTCCCTCTGATAAGAAAGTGTACGTGTTAATGCTTATGTGTGCATGCAGAAGGTGTGTTCTGCATTTAAAATGTGTGATGCCTGCAAGTTACGGAGCTACTGAAGGGTGTTACGGGAGGCAGCAGTTTTTTCTTTTTCTTTTTTTTTCTTTTTCTTTTTTTTTTTTGGTCACTTGTTTTTGCCAGCAACTTACTGTATAACCTCTAGTAACTCTTTTCCCCCTCTATGAAAAGAGGACAATGAACTGTCATTACCTGTATAAAGTCCCTTGGAATATATATTTTTTTCCCTTCAGTTAAGGAAAAGCAGCTGAAAAGTYGCAGACTGCTTTCATTTTAGACAGCTGCTGAACTCCTGGGAAGTTTAATAGAAACAGAATCAGATCATCGTCTTCTCTAGAATCAAAAAATCTGCAAAGTTTGGCCTGTCTTTAAAGTTTCTACTTGATTAACTATTACACTCAATAAAATATTTATGCAATATATGTTAAGTGGATGCACTAAGTACTGCTTCGTAGCACTACCAGATGGTTAAGAAGCAAAATATATCTATCTAGTCTCCATTTTTTGCCATCACAGATTTAAAAAGAAAAAAGTATGGAAGGAAGAAAAAAAACATTGGATATTTTATGGAGCTGGAAGAGTTAGTACATCATCCAGCTGCCCTATTTAATATAGCTCCCGCTGTGTTAATTCCTCTCTAAACYTTCCTTTAAACACTGTTGGTTATGACTAATTTACGACAGGTGAGGTTCCAGCTAAACACTCCATGATCTTACATGTTTTAAAAAGCTTTTGATTTAATGCAACTTTCTTAATCGAATAGAAAGCGTGGGTAATTATGCCCGCCTTTCAGATTAGTGTTGCCAATTTTGGTTAATTTATGTCTATTACTGCCTTTCCTATCTTTAATGCTTCATTGTGTAAAGTTGAATTAGTAAAAGAAGGATAAGCTGCGTGTAGTCCAGTGGATTTCTGATTCCTAGCCGAGGGATTTTGGTCATAATGTTCTCTAATGGCCTTAAGAAAGGAACAGCTCACAAGATGCCTCCTCCTGTTGCGAGTTGGTACAACTTGATATAGGTGCACGGAAGCATTAYGGAGTTGATATACAAGAATTTTTGGAGCTTTGCACAAAATCTGATTTTAAATGGAGAAGAAGTATTTGATACAGCTGGCTGGCATCTGCCCAACGCTTCACACCCACCCCTGTTTCTTTGTTTGCTTTGATTATCTCTATGGTACTGTTTTACTTTGGGGATGAGTGTTTTTGTGAGAGAACAGGAAATGGTTCCCACTGGAACCTTTCTTTTCTCCTTTATGCTTCTACAGTTCTTTCAAAAGATTTTCATGGTTTCCAGTTAAAAATAACTAGTTGGATTTTTTCCTGTTATTAACGCGACATGAAGGGTAATTTATAACCTAGAAACAAGGTTTAAAGGACAAGAGGCTGTGGGTGCAAACGGAAACACYGGAGATGGCATCTGGACAGGAGAAGCACTTTTTTCACTCTGAGGGTAATTGTACACAGGAGCAAGATGCCCAAATCCCAACAAAGACTGTGGATGTCTCCATCCTTGAAGATCCTCAAAGCCCAAGTGGACCYTGTCCTATGGAACCTGTTCTAGGTGACCCTGCTTGGGCAGGGGATTACAGCAGGTGATCTCTGAAGGTCCCTTTCAACCCTGACTATCCCATGATATTTGTGAACAAAATCCATTTTTCTTATCAATAAAATACRTGTATAAAAAGAAGATGCAAGTTTCCCTTCTCTGCTTCTGATACAGTCTCTGTCCTGAGCTTCTAGTATGAGAGCACAGTATGTTCTGTTTTGGTGTGTCGCTAGTGCAGTTGTTTGGTCTCCTTGTTTGGCTGTCCCTGATGGCTGTGGATCATGAGATGTAGCTTTGGTTGCTAATGGCAGGCAGAAGCCATTGGTTCTTTTTCCAGCGTGTGAGTGGTGGCAGCAGTTCTCCTATAACTTTTGATGTTCTCTACATAGAAGCAACCTATGTTGGTTTTTGTTTGTTTTCCCTCCTCTATTTGGGGGTAAATAGAAACAGATTTATTACACRTTGGTATCACTGCTTTTGCTAAAGCCTTATAACATTTTGCATTATGAAGCCAGGTTTAGTTGATAATTGCGCTGCCAGGTTTAGCTGATAGGTAAACGGGGGCATCTCCTCACAGGGGCCTGTGGAAGGTACAACCCAYTGCCTGCGCTGCAGTGTCTCCACGGGATGAGTCCTGCTCTGGAGTCAGGGGTCAAATATGGCTCCCTGCCTGTTTGTGAGCAAACCCACAACACCGGATCCAGCACGGAGCCTGGCGCAGCTCCATCCCACACCGTGGAGTGGATGGTTGAAGAAACCACCTCCCGTGAGCCCTCGTGCAGCTGGGAGAGCAGCTGTTGCATCGATGGGGCTCCAGCTGGGGACATGCCCTCATGCTCTGCTCTTGGCCACTTTCTAAACAGCTGTATATATATATGTGTGTGTGTGTGTGTGTGTGTATATGTATTTCCATATATATATAAATTTTCTTCTCTATAGACAGTGCTGTGACCCATCCAAGTCTAACTCTTGAAAACCTGCCTCATTCCTCATCCAGCCAATGCGCCAAAAACTCTCCTCTTCATAAACTGGAGAGAAAATGAGGCCAGTAGGTGACTTAGCTTTGATTTAGAAACGATTGCAGTTCAGATTACTTACCATCATCTCATGCTTCTCCTTTTTAGATGCAAGGACTGACCATGGCACCGAATGAGCACTGTCTTCAAGCCTCCTTCCTATAAATGACAGGACCAAACCAGGCGGTGTGATGAATATGCCACTGCATCAAATCTCTGTCATTCCAGCTCAGGATGTTACCTCTTCCAGAGTCTCCAGGAGCAAGACCAAAGAAAAAGAAGAACAGGTAATATTAGATATTCACAGAAAGTTACCTGAATATAAAGTGATTTTCAGGTGAAACCTAATTCTGCTTTACTCCTTGATGATTGTTGCTTTTGTGAAAATGAGTATGTCCCTCTCATCTCTTTACTCTTACGTTTGCATTTTAAAGCAGCTTGCTACAAAACACTAGAAACTGTTGTGGAGTAACTTCAGCAAAATAAAAACCTTCCGCTCTGTGTGAGATTTCAAGGAAGATTCTGTATGGTTGGTCCTTGCACCGTGGTCTTGGAACCTCTAACAGGCTTGTGTGGCTTTTGTTGGTGTGTGGTTGTTGTTGATTCGTTGTGTTTTGGTTTTGTTTGTTTTTGTTTTGAGAAGAGAAAAAGAGTATGGGGTGTGAACCCCCTATATGCAGGCAGGCATCTTGATTTCCTTTGCTCTTGACAGCATCTGGTAGCCAGATGAAGGTTCTGGAGTAGCACAAGGAGGGAAAAATAACCCCTTCTGTTATGTTTACTGTACTGTTTCTTGGAGACTGTGATTGTATTTTTAGCTTAGGATGACATGTGTGAATGGAGTCATTTGAGATCTTGTGATGGTGTTAATGAGAAACARAATGCAAAAATACCAAGTATCTAAAAATTTTAAGTCTAATAGAATCTTATTAATGGCTTACTTAACATTTTTAATAGTATATTGTGTCTGGACTTCACATGTAATAACTTTATTTAGCCCTTGGGCTGTGTCTCGGAGCTGAAGGTTTTAGCACACATCATGCTTTTGTGTGCACGGTGCTGAATTCCACATTATTTATCAGTTCCACTGCAACATCGGTGTGCTTTTTAATGGGATGAAAACAGGTCAGGAGAACACTCACATTATTGAAAAACTCAAAGGATCAGGGTTATTTTAYGGACTAGAGAGAAATATTTTGATATTAACTAGTTAATTAGTTTTACTAATAACTAATATTAATATTAATTAGTATTAGATTCTGAGGAGGTATAGAGTGATATTGATTACAGATAGGGCATAGCTTATGTATAAGGAACTAGAAAGGAGCTGTCACATTACAGAAAAGGATTCAATGGGACTAGTTTTGGGATAGGATAAAGAAAAGTGCTTCTGACAGGTTAAGATCATTTGCAGTTTTCACCTGTGAGCTGCACAACTTGCACCCATGAAAGCCATTGATGAGTGGGTAAAAAACCAATTGTCCCACTGTCTGTCTGTTTTCTTCTGTATTCTTGGCCTTAGTAACAACTTAAAGCAGAGTGAGCCCTTTAACAACTGAAACCAGTAAACCTGATCCAAGTAGGCTGTTGTGGCTCTGCTGCTGGTTGCAAGGGCTCGGCAGGAAGTTGTCTTTACAGTCAAGCTGCTTTAAATCACCAAAACAGCTTGTCTCAGGAGTGCCCTGGAATCTCTCCCTTCCTGTCCATCCCATGTGTTTCCCTCGGTCTGTGATTTGTTGGGCAGGTCCCTGAGAGGGCTTTTTTGTTTCTCCTTCCCAGCTCTCTCCCCTATAGCAGCTACATAGACGGAAAGACTGAAACAGCCCCCCAGCCAAACAAATGGTGATTCTGGGAACAGACTACAYTCGGTGGGGGTGTGTGATATGAATCAGGAGGTCAGATTAGTTCTGGTAACTGTTTTGTCCTTCAGTGAGCTCTAGAGTGAGAGAGTCCCCAGCCTGTTTCTAGATTTCTTCTTCCTGACAGTTTATGCTGAAAGTACAATATTAACAAGAGCCTCCAGCGTGTTTTTTAGTGACAACTACTCTGAGTGTTGATTACTGTTTTTCCTATCTGTTCTGCTGTAGTACTTTGAGGTTTTGGGACCTTGGAGACAGAACACCCTTAGGACTGGGAAAAAAACCCACTTCTTGAAATATGGCTCCTGTGAAATATTACAGGGGAAAAATAGGCCTGGGATTATGCAAACAATAAATTAGACTGCAAACTGCATTGCTTCCGGTGTTAACCTTTACTGCTGGATCTAGTGAATGAGCTGGAAGGCAGTCAAGTCGTTGATGTGCTGTCTTTGACCGATCCAGTTAGTTTTTCATGTTGTCTCAGAATATTCAAGGCTGCTTGCCAGCCAAAGTCCCTGTTGACCCTTGGCTATAATCAGGACCTGTTAGCCGTAGTTGTAAGTTTTGCTGGTGTTTAAAGTAAGGGAAAGGGGAGATAGATGCAAAGGAAAGAAATTGTAGGCTATAGCTACCGTTCTTAATCGCTTCAAAATATCCATATTCTGTTTGAGATAGAAACCAGTGCAAGATAAGCAGTAGTGTGTGTAGTGAGTATAATCTTCTGTTGAGCAAATCTGCTGAGCTGTTGTACATGATTCTTGAGCCCTTGGTAACATCTGTTGTATAAGAGAAGGGCACTATGTAAAACTAAGAAAGAAGGCATTAATACTTCAGTTTTGCTTTGTGGGTTTAGCTTCATATGTTTCTGATGGTAACCAAATGGCCATGACTACAAAATTTACATCTTGCAGCAGCTAAACTGAGACCAAACCTCCTCACCTTGAGTTCTGTATGTCTAATCCAATGGCATCCAAGCTACCGTSTCGTGCACGTTGTGCACGTCCTGCACTTCAAGAGGTTTGTTATGTGTGGAATAACTACTTGCTTGACCTGAGGAGGAAGGGGAAAGTGCTTTGGRGGTGTGCTTTGGAAAGGGGTGTGCTTTGGGGGTTGGGCAAACCCTATGCCTGTCTCCCTTGTTTATTGCCCAGCTCCAACTAAAGCCAAGATGTCATCAAGCACGACAAAGATTGACTTGCTTTAATTCATGTTTTGCTTTTTTTTCCCTTGCAAACTTGCTGTCCATTCCTGCATCTTAGTAAGTTCTTTAGAAGAAAGGCTCAAGAAGCACCAGCAGAAAATGAAGCACTGATGTGTTTTTATTATAAAGAGAACGTCATGAAGCACTGATGTGTTTTTATTATAAAGAGAACGTCATGAAGCACTGATGTGTTTTTATTATAAAGAGAACGTCACCAGCCTGTGTAGAGTTGGCTTGACCTATCCCCAGATGGAAGGTGCTTTATATTCTGCTCTCCTTACTTTTGTGATTATGCATGTGTTTAAATATCTGCCTTCGTTGTGGAGGTGCAGAGGAAAATTTCTTAAGTTGAGCAGAATCTTTTACTGTTTCATCTTTGCTTCTGATTCCGACATAGCTCTGTTTTGTCAGGGTAGGGCTTGGCTGCTTTTAGTTTTCTTTGCTACAAGGGTGAGTTTTCTGTGCTAAAGATTTGGGACTGGTAATGAAGGGCAACTAGAAATCCTTCCCACCATTACCATTATAAGCTTTTCAAACTCAATACTGTCTATTCTGCAATGCATGGCCCTGTCTCATGTTGGACTAACATGTAGATTCAAGGCCCATGGAAGTTTGTGGCAAAAAAACTCACTGAATCTGAGGTAACAAAAACCCTACCATTTTTGCTTTAAGTCACTGCTCTGCATTAATAGTTTCTAGTGGAGTCTGGTAGCTTATGATTCAGATTAATATAACTTTTAAGATTTTACACTAATTAAAAACTTTCACAGTCTTTTGTAAAACTTTGCCCATTTTTCATGGTAAAAATGGGGAAGGTCATAAAGGGATTAGCACTCTTGCATTTAACTCAGATGAACTGTTAGCTTTAAGGGCTATTAATAACTATTGTTAGCTTCTTACTGAGCCTTCACTAGGAATAGCCTCATGCTTACCTGACTTGAGTGTGTGTCACGGTCTCATTTGGAGGTGCTGCAAACCCCACCACTCTTTGCCATGGGGTAACGTGTTGTGCTGGCAATGTTGTTTCTGAACATACCCAAAGGCTTACAGCTCTCTGCATGTGGCCTGGAAATATGGAATAGCTGCTCATAGATGTTTTTCTGATGGAGCATTGCTTCTTTGGGGGTTGTGTTCCTTATTTATTGAAGCAGATGAATGTGTACTATCCCTTCTTATTAAAAGTTACTGAATGAAGCTCCCCAAGGAAAAGTTACTCTGCTGCTTTTCTAAAACTGTGTGAGTAACTTCACAGCTGCTGCCCCTGGTGCTATGATCTCCACAGATCTCCTAAGCGGATCAGGAATGGACAGGATCAGTGTTTGAATGGGAGATCATAAGGTGCTGGTCCAAATCATATTGCTTATTGCCTGTGCAGTACTCAACAGCCCAGACCCCAGAAGAAACGCTAGATTGTCCTCAAAGATTACATGGCATTTGTCAGGAAAGCAGAGCTGTGTGCTGGTCAGATTTAAACTTGCTTATTCCACTTGACTGACCAAAACTCCCTTCTGTCCTTCCAGAGAGACTCTCTTCTTCAAATAGCATGTGATACTGCTGGCTGTTGCCTGCTCGAGGGGGATTTTATGGCAGTCTCGAACATCACTGAGTGCTTCTCAAAGCTGTCATGTATGGAGGTGCTGTGTCTGAGTTCTAGACGTGCTACATTAGGCTGTAAAGCAAGTAGTCCCTATTCTTTTGGATGAAACTGTGGTGAAACAAGTACATTGTGTTAAATCCTATTAAATGTCTTCTGCTTTCTTAAAGATCTCAATTTTTCTGCTGAAGAGACATTATGGATTATTAATTCACATCCACCATTGTAGTTTTTTTTCTGCTGTTACTGGAAAATAAGGCTTTACTGCAGGAAAAAAAAAATAGATGTGTTTTTAAGAGTTTTTAGTTGAACTAGATCAGCTGTGCAACATGCAGCATTAAGGTGCATGTTTTAAACTGCTCATTTCCAATGTGAAAACTTATGAGAACTTTTGCAGTGGGCGCAGAACCATGCTGTGACCTTTGGGTTTCTTTTGCATTCAATTTTTGGACCTTGAGCTATGTAGGTGGGCTGTGACTAGCTGAACTTGATCCAAATATTCAGGCTAGAGAGTTGCACAGCTCTGTGTGCGTTTACTTTGTTTTTCCATTGAACCAAATTATTTACTAAGCAGCCAGGCCGTGAGTACTTTGAGAATTTTACCTCTAATTTTTATCCTGAGATTTGTGTGTT